CTTTCAACTGAAACTCCAGCACCACTGATTTATGTAATTGTCTTAATTTGTATACTAGTTATATATTGATATATGAAAACAATCTCAATGGGGCCAGCCAGCAGCAAAGTAGTGAAACTCAACAGTCTCTGAGGCTGACCCACATGGGAGGTTCAGAGACCTCCCTGAGTATGCCAGGCATGCATCCCCAATGAATTGATGCTAGGGAGAAATGGACACATCAAGATCCTGTCATATCTCCTTCTGGCTCTCTGTCTTTCTTGCTCATGAAAATAATAAATCAGTAAACTACAAAAATATTTCGCAGCTGAAAACAGCAGATATTTTTTTTACTCATAGTTACTGTGGACCAAGAATCTAGGAGCTGCTTAGCTCAGTGGTTCTGGCTCAGGGTCTCTTTGAGTCTACAGTCAAGGTGTCTGCAGGGGTGTAATCACCTTGAGCCTCGAACTGGTAATAGATTTGCAGTGTCCTAAGATCAGCTTCCAGGCTCTTTACTTGAGCCTCTTCACTGAGCTGCTTCATAGCATAGTGGTTGACTTCTCCTGGCAGGATCAAAAAAGAGAATGAATGAGAGTCACCAAGACAGAAGCCATGATATTTTTTAGCCTAAACACAGAAGTGACAGATCTTCACCTCTACCATAGTCTATTCATTAGAAACAAGTCACCGAGTTGTACTGCTACCCAAGCAAAAAGGATTATACAAGAACATAAGCACCAGGAAGTGGGGATCATTGGAGGTCATCTTAGAGGTTGCCTACCATGCTTTATGTTGTATTAAAAGCAGGGCTTGAGACAAGGATTTAGGTGTAAAGAGTGCATTAGGAAATTCTTCCCTTGAAGTATTGCAAAGAAGTAAAGAAAGGAAAGACAATCATTCATGGTCATTAATGAGTAGGTTACAGTTCAGTGCCACTGGACTTCATCCTGCTGGAGTCTCTGAGAGACCATATGGAACACTGCCCAGAATTGTGCTTCCAAGGAATAAGGAAATTGGGGGATTTTATTCACTATCACCCGCCCCACACTGTTTCAGTATTACTGGAGCTGTCTACAAGGATATGGGCCCTGAGATGGGACCCCAGAGTCTGGACCATAAAAGTCTCAGAAGATTTCTTTTTTTTTTCTTTAGAGAGAGTTTTTTGCTATAGGGTGTGTGCAGTCACTGGAGAGACAGAAAGTGAGAAATCATCACCTTGGGGGATAGGCATGCTGCAATCCCTTTTCCTCCATCCCCCTCTCAGGTTCTTGGGCCCATATACATGTGTGCCTGGCATGAGTTTTAAAGCCACCAGGACCAGGACTCAAACTGTGGTCAACTATGTGGGAGTCTAGTGATATAACCATTACACCATCTGCTGGTCCCCCCAGATGATTATTTTGACCAAATAAATTTGAGAAGCACTGGGTTAACCATCACAGAGTCATTATTCATCTCCAAGAATTTTTCATCACTACTCTCAAGAGTGGCTAATATTATTGCCCTCCTGCCATTAACAAGGCACAGTGCAAGGCATTGGCAACAGAAGGACACCAGCCTCTGGTTTAAACAGTCTTTGAGCTCAAGCATCAGAGATATATGCAGTACTTTCACTTAGTAAATTCCAAGGATTATGCCTTTACGCACATCTTATTTATAGAAATATTCACTTGAGCTGTTCCCCAGTGAGTGTTGCTTTACTTTCTTCTTCAATTAAAGCCAATGTAGAAAGAATTGGAAGTGATATTGACACTCCCCTAAGGAAAAAGGGAGTAAACACACCTCACACTTTCACCTTAAGAAAAACACTTAACTAATAGAACCAGGAATTACAGTACACCCTGAGTACTCTGAGTAAGAGACTCTGTGACCCTTATCTGGAGAAAGAAATTTTCTTTCGAGATTGCCTCCTTCAGACCAAAAACTAATTATTTCTGACTAGTCAAAAATTAGCACTGAAAAAATGCATGTGTTTTCTTTAAGACAGATCTTTCTAATCAAAATACTAGGCCTTGAAGAAAAAGAAATTATTTACATCATCTGTAAATAATTTCCTTGTAAAAAGAAGAAAGAAGCAAAAATTTATTAATAATGGTACTTTCAAACAATGTAGGCTCAAATGAGGCCTAGGAAAGAAGTGCTGTTGCTGAAGTCATTTAGAACTGTTTGTCCTGGGAGAGAGGGTGAGCCCCTCTTCAAGGGTTTCTTGTCCTTCCATTACAGTTTCACCTAGTAATCACTCATTCACATACTAAAAATGACAGCTCTGACCCAGCTGTGCTGCAGAGACACTACACTCTGTCCGCACTGCACACCTGGGTTAGGTTTGTGATACAACCTAGGTGCAATGGGGCATGTCTATTATCCCAGTAATTCACAGAGGCCCAAGGGAGCAGGATCCCAAGCTTGTAGCTGACCTGGGCACCACATAGATGCTATCTATAATAAGAAAGAGACAGGCATGGCGGTGAGTACCTGGAGTTCCTGCTGGTAGGCTGAGGCAGGAACTGCCTCAGTGCATAACAGCTGCACTCTGTCTAAAAAAAATTAAATTTAAGAATGGGATCAAAAACAACTCAACCATTCATGACTTCCTTCAGAAGACTTTTAGAAACCTTTAGTTAATGTTACAGTGACCCAATGACTTGCTGTCATCTAATAAAATCACAACTCCATAGTATATAATGCCCTTCCAGAACTCACTCTTCCCAACTTAATCAGCCTCAGCTTTGGTCAGTGGCCCTCCCCCACCACATGGACTTGACTGGCAAGTAATACCAACTTCTCTGATGTCTCCTGACCACCTCATGGTTGATCATTCCTCAGCACTTGCAATTGTTCTCCTACTGAGGAAAGTTGCCCTGACATCACTCCCTTCTCCCCTTTGTCTGCCCCACAAACTATGATCAACATTCACAAACAGGGCAAACACAGTTTTGTCTTGGAATCCATCTCTGACTGGGGAGGATGGTACTCTGTGCATCTATTACACCCTGTACCTAGCCCCGCCAGGGCATTATGACATCATGTTGCTTTTGTTCATTATTTGCTTTAAATCTATTTCTGAACAAAACTAAAACTCCTCGGAAACTACAATGATGCTGTTCATTTTTCTATTTCCAGTTCTACTCCCAAATAGAGTACTGGATATAAAACATAGGTTTGATGCATGTATGAAAATGTGGATGGCAGTGCAAGAGTAAATGGATCAACAGGCTAAAGATATTTACACAGAAATCGTTGTCGAAGCTGACCCTGGCTAATTGGATGACGAACAGCTAAGCTATTAGCCTATAGTTCCTAAATTCCCCTACTTAGGAACAAGGTCAGATTTCTAGGCTTTTAATCCATTAAATCTATACTTGTACCAAGCAGCTGGCATCACATAAAAACAGGTTTCCAATACCCTCTGATTAGACACAATCTTAGTCCTGAACCACTTGTCCTAACCTAGCCACACGCTACACCCCATGTGTTTTTGATCCTTTTGGCTTATAACCTCATTACACAATCTCGTGTTTATAACCTCAAGGCATTCTTTAGACCTGAACGTAGTCTTGCTTTCTGACGATGATTAAGGTTCTTCTCCCTGAGTATAACTTGAATTCTTCTGAATTCCTAGTTCCCTATTAGTAGGTGCCTATTAGCCTGGCCTGAAAACTACTTTGGTTAGAGTTCTTTTTGGACTCATGCCCAGCCTTCTGAGGGGATAGCCCTGAACTTCTCAATGAGGGAAACTGAGCCACATTTCTAATGACAGAAAAAGAGAGAGGCAGTGCAGTATAAGCCATAATCTATACATAATGTTCACTGATAAATATTGTTCCAGATTGGGACTCATTTGCATTTATCTCAAAAAAGAATTTTACCTTTAGAATTCAGATCTTTTAAGAGAACAATACATTGAAATAAAGAAAGAGGCAATTATCTTAAAAGAGTATAAAAGGAGAAGATGAAATAAATGAAAATTATGAAAGGAAAACAACTTGGCCTCATAAACTGTAGTGGCATATTTGGGATAGAATGGTTTTACATCCAATGCCAAATTAACCTACATGTTCTTCTCAATCCTATTACAGAGGTATAAGGAAAGTAGTTAAAAGAAATTATCAGAGGGGCTGGGTGGTAGCACAATGATAAAATGCAACACTCGTCAAGGCTGATCCATGTGGAAAAGTTCTTCATTCATGTCCCAAGATCTCCCTGACTGTGAACGTCATGCATGTGCCCATGATCTGGGACTGACGGAGGCTCGAGGGAGATTGCAAAATGAAGACCCTATTGGGAGTGACTTTATGTCTCTCTGTATATGTCTTTTTGTCTCTCTTACTCATAAAATAAAGAAGTGAATGGATTTTAAAAAAAAGAAAAAGAAAAGAAAAGAAACCACAAGAATAACAATATAGAGTCTAGGTTCTAATACTATGAAACTATACATTATCTAAGAAACCCTTGCATTTTACTACTGTATGAGAGAGAAACTTCTGTGTTATTAAAAAAGAGAGAATGAAAAAAGAACAAGTAGTCAACCCCACATAGGCTAGTGGGCGTTCAACAGTTAATGTTTGGCAAGTTATGACAGAGATGGGAAGGAGACGGGGAGATCTGGTGGTCAATATCAAAAGTAAGTAGAGTCAGGGAGACCTGTGTTTGAATCTCAGATCTGCCATTTTCATGGCAATGAGACCTTGGAGAAACTACTTAGCTATACTATTGTGTTGTCAGAAAAGCCGTCACACATTTTTGCATAGAAAAAAATACATCGTGACCCAGTATGTGCCATTTTAATCATCTGTAAAGTAAGAAGAATAAATATATATAACTTTCATGTTAACGATTAACTGCAGTTAATGAAGGGTAGTTTATGTAATAAATGGCTATTTTTAAATATTATCATTAACAACACTATATTATTTGAGAGCATGTCTCCACTATGCTGATGTCTGGTATGTCCTAAGAAAAGATAGAGGTTTCATTTCTACTGTTCTGGGAAATGTCCATGGATAGTCTGTAGGCTAAGAATAATATGTGACTCTCCAATAGCCATAACTGTTGACCTGTTACCGAAGCACCAGAATATAATGAACTTTTCTGCTTTGCTCTCTAAAAGTTTATTTATTTATTTATTTAATGAAAGCCAGACAGAGAGAAAGGGAAGTACCCTCAACAGAGTCTCATGCCACAATCTTCCCCCCACCTTCCCAGGCAGCCAAAATCATGCACATGTACACCCAGACCTACTATACAGGTCAACCCAAGAACCAAACCCTGATTTTCCACGTGGCTTCCAGCATTGCAGGGCAGCATGCAGTTAGGCTTGTTTTTATTTTCTTAAATTTCTTACATTTTTCTCGGAATTTTCTTTTGAATATTTTTCATTGACAGCTCTCTTCATTCTTATTATTCAGACCCAAAACTTTGGAGATATCCAAATTCCTCTCCTTCACACCATATGTAATCCGAGCAACTTCTGTCAGCTCATCATCTCCACTGCTCCCAACATAGTCCACGTTGCCTAGATTACTGCTAAAACCTCCTAAATCTAACCTCTCCTGATTCTGCCTTTGCTTCCCTAGATTCTATCCTAAAGAGGAGCTGCAGTAATCCAAGGACTTCTTCTTTATTAAATCCAGAGATCTTCTCTGCTCACCACCACCACCCCCATCTTCTTCATATCTTATTCAGAGCAAAGTCTAAAGTCCTGTAATGTCTATGAGGCCCGACTAGATCTGGCTTTCTTGATGCTTCTTACTGCTCTCACCCTCTCCCACTGTGCTTACTCCACACAAGTGCAGACACTCCTGCTTCGACCCTCTATCATTCCAAACACATTCCTGCCTCACAGTATTTGTTCTTCAGAACACTTTTCTCAAAGATATGACTTGGGAAGATACAAATATAAACATGATGCTCTTCCTCATATTGCTGATGTCTCAACCAAAATACTTCCTTGGCAGAGAGGGTTACTGTCTTGGCCTAGGTTTTCTTAAAAGTGGAACCTGAGATAATGGCTTGAATACGGGGGTTTGTGGGAGAATTTATTGGGTTGTTAGGAGAGTGATAACCTATTTTTGCATAGAAAAACACGTCATTACTTTCTTAACAACCTAATATTTCAAACATAGGAATTAATTAGCAAAGAGAAAAAGTTAAACCAAGGATACATCATTAACTTGACCAATATTATGGGCAACTGGAACTTAATCTGACTGGCTCACAGAAATCATGTAAATTGCCACCAGAATTATCCAACCAGATAAGAAGAGGAGAATATTTATTTACCAGCCCCCTCTCCAATAGGCCAAGGGTTGGCCAATAGCATGTTACCCACCTTGGGCAAGTGAACATAGGCATGTACCAGGATGGCCAGAGGAGATAACACTCTATGGGGCAGAGAAGCTCTGTGAAGCGACTAGAGACACAATGTACAACTGAAGATGCTGTTAGATGATGACCATGTGAATCTGACTGCTGTATTAAAGAGTGAAATACAAAAAAGAGCCAAGAAGATGTGAGACTGGGCTCAGGAATAATCTATGCTTCCCTAAACACTTTATCCAAGCTAGGACCCCATATCTACACTGTCACTTCCTTTCTTGTTATTTCCGCCACATATACTCACATACTTACAGGTATGAAGATCTCCCCTACTAAAATATAAGCAACACAACTCAAGGCTTAGATTTTTCTCACTATGGTATTCTCAATCTCTGGAATGGCATCTATTGTTCAGTAATAAATAATTGTTAAAAGAATGGTACAGTACCTGTAACATTAGTGGGAATGTAGATGTGTGTGTGTGTGGGAGAGAGAGAGAGAGAGAAAGAGAGAGAGAGAGAGGTGCGGAATAGAGGAGAGAACTACTGAAATACAGGTTGTCCTTATATAGGCAGGGTATGTCATTGCATTCTTACCATTGACCTATCTATTCATCTAGCTGCACAACCACAGATGCTACATTCCCCCTAAGTGATGTTAAACTAGGCTTAAGCCAACAAGAGTCAACAAAAACTCTGTCGAAGCACTAGATCAGTGCTTCCCAAATGCCAGCATGCTTGAGAATCACCTCAGAGACTCGCTAAAACAGAGTGCTGGATTTCATCCCAGGTCTTTCAGGGGCCTAGGAATGTGAATTTCTAAGTGACACTAACACCACTGGTTCAGAGATCTGATTTGGGGGACCATTTCTTTAGACAATTCTTACAACCCCTTGCAGTGGGCATCTTGCCCACTGCAGAGCCTGGGCCAAAATGAGTGAGACCCACAGGAAGGAGCAGGTTTGTTTCATTTAAGCAGTTTTAAAGCTCAGTACAGCTCTGCCTGTTGGAGACTTTACAAGGTCACCGTTTGACATGGGATTTACTTACTACGTTCAGCTAATCCTGATGAAGAGTTCAGGCCTGTTTAGGAACTCTCTTTACAGTCAGTACTAGGACCATATTTTTTAAATAAACCATATCTTTGTGTAATTGGCATGTCTAAATAGAAGCAGAAAAACAGGATATGAGGACCAGAGTACCAACAGTGAAAATTTTAGAAAACATGAAGAAAATAAAAAAGGCCAATACTAATTTGGGGGCAGGGCTCTTTTATGCTTTATAACTTGGGAAGTGTAAAACTTATTTCCTTTGAAGAGAGGAAGAAATCTTGAGACAAATAATTAGCTCTCCATTCTGCAGGAAAAGGTAGTTCACTATCAGCAGTGGCCGGTTGCTACCATTGCTTTTAATGCCATAGTCCTCAATCAAAACCAGCTGCCAGGTACATGGATTTCAATGGATGATTTGGGGACCAAATCAGATGTGAGAGGCAGAGAAACAGGGTGACCATGGTGGGTCTCTGCCATTGTATCCTATGGAGGCCATGGAGGAAGTAGTGGAGACATAGAATACTCTTTCAGAAAAATGAAACGTCTAGTGATCTCCCCACCCTTCCATCCATCCTACCACCTTAAACAAATG